GAGGGCGCTTTTTGCATGCGGCCTTTATAAAAACGGAAAAGACATTTTAATGAAAATTAATTTTAAAAAATAAATTGGTTTGAAATGGATTTTGAAGAATTTAAAAAAGAATCAAGGTGAGCTTTTGCATTTATATTTGTTCAAAAAGAAATGCAAATGAGGCAGCAGCAGCTTCTTCTAGCTGCTGCTGCTGCTGTGCTTGAAAATGACGGCAGCTAGCTGCTGCAGCTGCTGCAGCTAGCCAGCTAGCCACAGCTGCGCAGCTAGCCACAGCTACCCCGCTAGCCACCGCGAGCCAGCTAGCTACAGCTAGCCAGCCGCAGCGCCCGGCTAGGTACCTCGCCAGCTAGCTAGCTAGCTTGCTAGCTAGCCATAGCGGGCTGGCTTGGGAGCTGGCTAGCTATAGCTGGCCACAGCTAGCTGGGGCGTCTCTGGCGCTTCTGCTTCTGGTACTGCGGCCAAATAAAATGAATAAATAAATAAAAAGGATCTGCGTTTAATTGGAATCCTTAATTGCTTGAAAAAGGCCAAAAGAAGCAGCAGAAGGGAGCCTGGGGCTGCATGCGGGAGGCGTCTGGGGGGCCCCCCGAGGCCCCCTGAGAGTCGGCAGCGGAGTAGAAGTGTTTGGGATTTTATTTTTGAAAAATATTCTTTAAAATGGATTAAATGAAAAGGGAGCTTTTTGTTTTTGCGAGAAAGTGCGAAGAGAGCTGCAGGTACACCCGAGCACCACCGCCAGCACCATGGAGGCGCTGCGGCGGCTGGGGAGAGTTCCTTGGTGAGTGTCTGCCGTTTAAATGCCATTATTTTCATTTTAAATATATTAATTAATTAAATTGGACCCCAAAAGTCTTTTACTCCTCGATTTCACCGGCGGTTTCGGCGCATGCGCCGAAAGGCGCGCTCCCGGGGTGTATGTACACCTCAACAACGCGAACTTCTGCTGCAGCAGCAGCAGCACTGCGCGGCGCACAGCGCGAAAAGAGCGATTTAAAGGAGGAAAATAAGAACAAAAAAGACAAAAAGAGCAGCAGGGAGAACAAAAAGGGGTTTAGTTGTACTTAATTCGCTACTCTAGGGTTTTTGCATGCAGGCTGCGGCGCATTGCTGTGGCGCTGGGCATTGTGGGGCCCGTGCTGCTGCTGCTGTACATCCCCCCTGTTGCTGCTGCTACAATTTTTGGGATTTGTTTGCTGGCAGCAAACGAGCACTGCAGGCTCAAGTCTCTCGCGCTGCAGCGGCTGCTGCAGCACACTGCAGCAGCAGCAGCAGCAGACACAAACTCGAAAGCAAATGAAATTCAAAAACCTCTTTTGGCCTCTCGCCTTTCTTCCCCCAAGGTCCGCGGTGTACATACACCCCAGCGGCTGCAGCCGACGCCGCTAAAGCTCAAGTCCTTTTTTCTATTTTTAATCTTTTTCAATCTTTTTAAGATCCTTTTTGAATCTTTTCGAATCTTTTTGAATCTGTTTGACTTCTTTTTCTCTCTTTTTATCTCTTTTTGTCTCTTTTTTTTCACTTTTTATTTCTTTTTGTCTGCTTTTTGACTTTTTAAAATTCCTTTTTGTTTTATTTTTGGCTCTTTCAATGCCCTTTTTCTCTCACTGTAGCTCTTTTTCTCTTCTTTTTTAATGTTCTTTTAGTCTCTTTTATTTTATTCTATTTTTTATTTTCTTTCTTTTTATTTTTTTGTTTTTAATCTTTTCTTATCTTTCCACTTTCCACCCCAAATTGCTGTTTCCCTTTTCGTGGATAATTAATTAAATTAAATTAAATTAAATTAAATTAATTAAATAATAAAAGTAAATAAATATAGTCAAATTAATTAAATCAAGTTAATCAATTCAAGTTGGTTGAATTTAATCAAACCAAATAAATTAAATCAAATTAATTGAATTAACTCCAATTAATTAATTAAAGTATTTAATTAATCAAATTAAATATTTAATTATTTAATTAAGTTAGTTGTTTATTTAATTACAAATAATTAACTAATTGGGATAGACCAAATCAATTAAATTAAATGAATCAAATTAAATTAAACTAAATTAAACCAAGTTAAATTAAGTTAAATTGAATTAAATTAACTAACTAATTAATTCAATTAAATCAAATCGAATTAAATTAAATTAATTAAATTAATTAAATTAATTATTTATTTATTTCAATTTGCTGTTTTGCTGCAGCCTTTGATGTGCTGCTGCTTCTTTCTCTTTCTGGCCAGTTTCTTCGACCCCAGCAAAACTCCCGGCTTTTGTTTTTTGTCTGCTGCTGCAGTGAGTCCAAACCCTAAACCCTAAACCCTAAACCCTAGGCTCTAAACCCTAAACCCTAAACCCTGCGCCGCGCGTTCAGGGGGTTTCTTTTGGCGTCGCGGCGAATTCAGTTTTGCTTTACGGCTGGAGCCGAGACATTCCGGAGTGAGCTAAACCCTAAACCCTAAACCCTAGGCGCTGCAGCCCGAGCCCGCGCCCCCGCCCGAGGGTTTAGGGTTTAGGGTTTAGGGTTTAGGGTTTGCGCACAGGTCGCGGGATGCACTCCTCTACGCCTGGGCCTCCGCAGGCCTCGACTTATATTTCTTGTGGCACTACGCAGTGCCTCTGGCCATGGGCAGCTTCGTGTTGCAGCGCAAGTAGGGTTTAGGGTTTAGGGTTTAGGGTTTAGGGTTTAGGGTTTGAGGGGCTCGCGGGCTGGGGGCCCTCGGGGGTTTCGGTTGGCTGTTTCTGCGGAGGTGCAGTTGGCCTTTCCGGTTGCCTGCTTGTGGCCTCAGGGACTCAGGGTTTAGGGTTTAGGGTTTAGGGTTTAGGGTTTAGGGTTTAGGGTTTAGGTTTAGGGTTTAGGGTTTGCGTTGCAGCGGGGGTTTGCCTCTTGCTGCTTCTCTAATCGCCATTTCTGCTGCTGGAGATAGCGGGGCTCTTTTCTGCGGCTCTGCATTTGGAAAGAGAAAAATAATTGAAAAACTTTCTCCCAACAAGACGGTGGCCGGTGAGGGTTTAGGGTTTAGGGTTTAGGGTTTTCTCTGCTGCTCGCTTCGCCGCGTTTCCTTTTTCTTCCCGGTTGCCCCCCTACCTCCCCCCACCAGAACTAATTAATTTATTTATTTTTATTTTTATTTTTATTTATTTATTCATTTACTTTTTTATTTATCTATTTATTTATTTAATTATTTTCAGGAGTGCTGGGCTCCCTCTCCTGGAGCTGGCTCGCGGGCTGGCTGCTGTGGCTACTGTCTTTAAAAGCCCCTTACCTCGGATTGAGGGTTTTGAGTCTCGCGGAGTATCTTTGCTTTGCCACTCTTGTGAGGGTTTAGGGTTTAGGGTCTAGGGTTTAGGGTTTAGGGTTTGGGGCCTCTCGAATGGCTGCTTGGATTGAGGGTTTTGAGGCTCGTGGAGTATATCCTCTTCGCCACTATTTTGAGGGTTTAGGGTTTAGGGTTTAGGGTTTAGTATCAGGGGTTAGCAGTTTAGCACCTGGGGTTTAATGTTTAGGAGTTGGTGTTTAGGGTTTAGGGTTTAAGGTTTAGGGTTTGGAGTTGAGGTTGCCGCAAACGCTCAGTTCCTTTTGGCTCTATTCTTTCTACTCTCTTCTTCTAAAGTGTCTTTTTGAAATTTTTTTTTAATTCTCTTTTTAAAATTAAAAAGAAGTAAAATATATTTCTTAAAATATGTATTTAGAAAATATCTTTTTAAATGTTTGTTTTGCATTAATTAACTTAAAATATGTCTTTTAAAGTACTTATTTAAAATTCTTTTCAAAATAAATGTTTTAAAACATTTCACTTTACTTGACTTTTATCTTTTTGGATCAAATTTTCTCCTTTTTTAACTAAGCAGTTTATTATTTGACTAAATAGTTAATTTATTAATTAATTTGTTTAATTTATTTAAGTGTGTTTATTTGTTTATTTATTTATTAATTTGTTCATTTATTTAATTAACTTATTGATTTAGTAAATAAAACTTCAATCCATTTAATTAAACAAGTTATTTATTTAATAAAATGAATTACTATTAAAGATTTTGACTTCGCGTTTTTTCTGGATTCTCGAATTATCCCTTTTTGGCGAAAATGTTTTCTTTTTTGGCGGTTTTTTTTGGATTTTGGATGAAATTTGGAGCTTTATTTGAATAAAATGTTCATTAATTCGAATAAATGGTTTATGTGTTCAATTAAAGTGTTTATTTGAATCAAATTGCACTCGCAGATTAGCATTTCGGGATTTTTTGGAGATTTGGTGGAAAGCGGATTCAAAAGACTCGCAGGCGCCAAAGACAGCAGTGGCCTTTTCGGGCCCCACGGCGGAGTTTTGGACAGGGTAAGCTTCCGGAAAAAAGTAAAAAAAGAAACAAAAAGAGACAAAAAGAGATAAAAAGGAGAATTAAAATGAATTGATGGGATTGATTTGATGTTAGAGAGAGAAAGAGGAGAAAAAACGATGCAGAAAACAAAAAAAAAGGAAAAAAATGAATTAAAATCCAGCGAGTTAAAGTCCTAGGAGACACATACTAAATAAATATAATTTAAAATTAATTTAATTTAAATTGATTTAAATTAATTTAGTTTAATCCAACCTTGAAATAATTAAATAGTAACAGTTAAATAACAATTGAATAACAATTAATAATAATGATATTTGAATAATAGTTAATTAATTACTAAATTCAATTTAAACAATAATTAATAATTCAATAAAATCAAGCAAAAATAACAATTTAACAACTCGAAGGTACTCAGATGATAATTTCGAAATTAATGAAAAAGAACTCAAAAACAATTAAAAAACAATTTATAATTAATTAAGAGACAATTTAAAAACATTTAAAAGGGCAATTTGGAGACAATTGAGAGATAAATTAAACACAATTAAAAAATAATTTGGAGACATTTAAAAACATAATTTAGAAATAGTTTGTAGACAATAAAAAAATGAAAAAGAAAATAAAGAATGATAAAAGGACTATAAAAGCAAAATTCGTTTTCAAATAAAAGAAATGGTAAAAGTTAAAGAGAAAAGGAAAAAGGATAATTGTAAAAAGAGAAAATAAAAAGTCAGAAAGATAATTAAAAATGAAATGAAGATATATTTAAAAGGAGTAAGAAGAGAATAAGAAGATAATGAAGAAGTAAAAATAAATTAAAATGAAGAAATAATAAAAAGAAATCTTAAAGGATGAAAAAGTCATAAATAATAATAAGAAAATAAAAATAAATGAAATGATAATAGAGATATCAAAATAGAAATAAAGAAGTGGAAAGCAGACAATTAACCAATAAGATGAACATAAAAATAATTAAAAGAACAAAGTAAAACAGAATTAAAATGAAAGATATGCAAAAAAGCAAAAGAGAAAATAAAAAGAAAATGAGAATATAATTTTAAAATTCTAAAAATAAAAACAAATAAATAATAGAAGGACAAGAATAAAAGAATTCAATATACAAAGAAGAGACAATTTATAGATCAACTTAAATTTAATTAAATAGACAAATCTATTAGCAGCAGCAGCAGTAGCAGGTGCAGCAGCAGCAGCAGGTGCAGCAGCAGCAGAAGTAGGTGTAATGTATGTACACTCCAAGTTTCGCATTCGATGGAGAAGTGCCTAGGCAGCTTTTGCGGAGATATTCAAAATACATTTGTTGCTGCTTTTGCTGCTGCTGCTGCTGCTGCGGCTGCTGCTGCTCTTTTGTGTGCAGTTGGACTCCATGACTCTGCCGATTCCTTTTCTGGTTTTCTTCATGGTGCTGCGGGGCCACTTGTAGGGCTGCTGGCAGAAACCCTAAACCCTAAACCCTCGGAAACCCTGGAAGAGGCAGCCCCCACAATCAGGGAGACAAATGAATTAAAATAAAAAAAAGAATTCAAATAAAGGGAAGGTGGAGCTGCGGAGTTGAGGGAATTATTTATTCTGCAGCAGCAGCAAAAAGAAGAAGGTCGAAATTAAATGAATTCAAATAAATCCAATTCAGCAAATCCAAATTAATTCATCCAGATCATTAAATCCAACAAATAATTCCGAATTAATTAATGCAAGGGAAAACGAATAAAAAATGCAAGGGGAAATTCGAAACGCGAACAAGTCCGCTTCTGCTCTTCTCCTGTATGTACACCTGCACCCCTGTGTGCAGATGCATGCTGTATAGACACATAAAGCACATCTTTGTGCTTTTCAAATGTGGAAAAGGCGAAAATTAATTAAAAATAATATAAAATAATATAAATTAGCATTAAATAGTGCAAAATAACGCAAAAAACGCGAAATAATGCGAATCGTTACGTCGAAGCATGCATGCATGCGCATGCGTTTCACTACGCGGGAGACAGACAAATATGGATTAAGTCCTTATCAATTAAGGAATTTAATGGACTATCACTCGACTAGAAGACAAAAACATACATTGATTAAAATATAAACTGACTTATTTGATCGAAGAAAGTCCCGAGAAACGCGCATGCACCGGGTGTACGTACACCCCAAGTGCGCGCCTGCATGCGCATGTGCGGCTTCGTGAATTTGTGAGTTTTTTGCGTTTCGAGGCCGCATTTGCGCACAAAATACAATAAACGTGTGTAAAAATGAAAGTAAATGAATAAAATAAACATAGATGAACATAAATGGATAGAAAAATCGAAAAAGGGACTTCAGGGCGCTTCAAAAAGACACTGGGGCGCGCTTGGGGATGCATGCAGAGCTGAGAAGGGGCTTTGTCGCCTTTTCTTTATTTCTTTTTTGCATTTTATCTTTTTCTAACTTGAGCCGTTAAGGAGCTTCAAGCCCGCTGCATGCGGGGCTGCATGCGCAGTTCTTGCACTTGTTGAAGTGTCTAGACACCCCAAGAAGCCCCTGCTGCTTTTCTTTGGCAGCAAGTGAGGCCTAAGGGCTGGCAATAAGTTCAGTTGGCGTTTTCTTTCTCTTTTTTCTTTGGAATCTCTTTTATTTATTTTTCCTTTTTGCAGCCACATAAGGCTTTCTTTTGGCCTTCTGGCTTCTCTTTGGCCGCCAGACAGCTCCTGGGCTCTAGGGTTTAGGGTTTAGGGTTTAGGGTTTGGCGTCTAGGGTTGGGGACCGAGGGCTGGGGCTGCGAATGCAGGGTAGGGTTTTGTGTTTAGGGTTTGGGGTCTAGGATTTGGGGCCAAGGGCTGCAGCTGCAAATGCAGGGTACAGGAGCTAGCGAGGGTTTAGGGTTTAGGGTTTAGGGTTTAGAGGATGGGTGGGCAGCGAGATTAAATGGATTTGTTAGACAGGGAAAGAAGAAAGGAAATAATTTCAAAGGAGCAAAAAAGAACAGAAGAGGAGATTAAAGGTTTAAAAGAAAAAAGAAAAAAGAGAAGGGAAAAAAACAAAAACAAAGAAATAGAAAAGAAAATAAAAAGAGAAGATAAAGAGAAGGGAGAAAAGAAAAGATAATTTGCAGAAAGGAGGCAAAAAAGAAATAAGAAAGAAAAAGAAAAAACACAAAAAAAAGAAACCGAAAATAAAAGAAAATAAATTTTAAAATAAGAAGAACATAAAAGCAAAGAGGACAGAAGAAACCAAAAAGGAATTTTAAAAAAGAAAAATGAAAAAAATGAAATGAAGAAATAAAAGAAATAATAGAGGGAAAAAAGAAGAGAGAAATAAAAGAGAAAGAAATTAAAAAAATTGAAAAAGAAAATAAAAGAAGATGAAAAGAAATAATTAGAAAAACAAAAAGAGATAAATAGAAGAAACGAAAAGAAATAAAAGCCAAATTAAAGGCCTTCAGTAAAGAGAGAAAAGGAGACAAAAAAGAAATGAAATAAAACAAAATAAATGAGAAATAAAAAATAAAATTAAATTAAAATTAAAAATAAAATTAAATAAAAAAAAGAAGAGAAAAGCAGACAATTCTTCTCAAATTGAGCTCTCCAGATCTTCCTTATTTCTTTCATCAAAACAAATTTAGAAATTAAATTAAATTAAATTAAATTAAATTAAATTAAATTAAATTAATCTAATTAATTAACTTAAACTAATTAAATTAATCTAATCAAACTAAATTAAACATGTTTTTAAGACACTGGGTACTGCAGCAGCCCAGGGTCACCTGAAGCCCCTGGGGCCCCTGGGGGCCCCCGGGGGCCCCTGGGAACCACCTGGGGCCCCATGGGTATAAAACTTTCTCTAAAGAAATGCGAGAGAAATAAAAAACAAAAAGAATAAATAAATTCACTTATTGATTTATAAAAGGAATGGAATGGAAGAAGCGCTGCAGAGGCGGGAGAAGGAGGAAGGACCACGCCAAACCCTAAACCCTAAACCCTAAACC